CCACTAAAGACAGCCCAGACATGGTGAAGTGGTAGGGAGGGAATCTGGTTTTCAAGACAATAATGTTTAGTTTGTAGGTCCTGCAGGGTGGAGGCTAGGCAGGGCCACAAGTGAATTTGCCCTGGGGATAAACCTGCAGGACAAGGGAGGGTTCTCTGATTCTCTGAGCTACTGTGCCAGGTTCACTCCTGAGCAGATGTCATGACAAGAGATGCCTGAATGCTCCCACGAGGCAGACGTGGAGATAATGCTATTGTACAGGTGGGGAGGATGGAGCATGGGTGGTGGTGGGAAGGTGGAGGAAGGCCTTTGCCCGAGGTCAGGCAGCTGATAATGATAAGAACCTCCAGGGATTCCCAAGTGCTCTAAGACACTGCACCTGGAATGTTGAGGTCAAGGGAGTCTGCTAAATTCGAGAAAGAGAAAAGGAGACCCCAACAGCATGGAGCTGGCCTGGTGTTCACAGCCAGGACTTGGTGTTTCCCTGTTGGATGTAAATGATTTCACACGGTCAGTCTTTGACTGTGTTGAAGTGACCTCTTGGTAATCATGGCCAAATACAGAGAGAAATCTGAACACAAGAGAGACTATGTGGCTAATAGAAGTGACATTGTTTCTACACAAATCACTGTACCTCTAGCTACAGTCTGTCTTCATTACCTTCCTTATAAGATCATCAGAGAGTGAGCCCCCCATTTTCTTTCTTTTTTTTTTTTTTTAAGATGACTGGTAAGGGGATCTTAACCCTTGACTTGGTGTCGTCAGCACCACGGTCTCCCGAGTGAGCCACTGGCCATCCCTATATGGGATCTGAACCCGTGGCCTTGGTGTTATCAGCACCACACTCTCCCAAGGGAGCCACGGGCCGGCCCAAGCCCCCGATTTTCTGGCAACACCCAACCCAGAGCAAAGCCACTTTTCTTTCTTTTTTAAAAAAACTGCAGTTAAAATATACATAACATAAAATTTCCTATTCTAACCATTTTCATGTGTGCCTTCAATGGTAGTGTGCATATTCATGCTGTTGCACAACCATCACCACCATCCATCTCTAGAATTTTTTCATCATCCCAAATTAAAATAGTTAAACTTCTCATTCCTCATTAAACATTAAACCTTCAACTTCTCATCCCGCTCTCCCCTGCCTCTACTACCCTCTATTCTACTTTCTGTCTCTATGAATTTGCCTATTCGAGATACATTATGTAGGTGGAATCATACAATATTTACCCTGTGTAGCCTGACCTTATTTTATTTAGCGTAATACTTTATAGGCTTATATGGCTGTTGCAGCATGTGACAGAACTGCCTTCCTTCTTCAGGCTGAAGAATGTCCCACTGTGTGGATGCGCCACCTTTTGTCTATGCAGTCATTGCTGACTGACGCTTCAGTTGTTTCCACCTTTCGGCTGTTGGGAATGATGCGGAGATAAGCATCAGTGTACAAATATCTGTTCGAGTCCCTGATTTCAATTCGTTTGGGTAGGCGCCACCTTTTGTCTATGCAGTCATTGCTGACTGACGCTTCAGTTGTTTCCACCTTTCGGCTGTTGGGAATGACGCGGAGATAAGCATCAGTGTACAAATATCTGTTCGAGTCCCTGATTTCAATTCGTTTGGGTATAAGAGTCACTCTGTTTTGCACCCTTTTCAAAACCATCAAATACAAGCCCAAATCCTCTAATAGGTCCTTATGTTGGAGTGAGCAGGACTGAAGCCATGTTGGGACCTAATGCCACATGGGCTCCCAAAAATTTAAAAGTTTTTTTTTTTTTTTTTTTAAAAAGATGACCGGTAGGGGGATCCTAACCCTTGACTTGGTGTTGTCAGCACCACGCTCTCCCAGTGAGCTAACCCGCCATCCCTATATGGGATCCGAACCCGTGGCCTTGGTGTTATCAGCACCGCACTCTCCCGAGTGAGCCATGGGCCAGCCCTTAAAAGTTTTTAAATTTAAAATTTTTAAATTTTCTCTTGGCATGCATATCTCTGAGTCCCCACTCTTCCCAGGATTATTTGATATTTTGAACCGTGGTTATGGGGAAAGATGACATTATCTACCTGAATGTAAAGTTGTTTTCCAGCCACCCTGCAGCTGCAGACCTGCACGTAGTACACAGCCCTGAGAAAAGGGCTGGAGCAGAAACCACATGAGGCCTTGGCGAGACCTTGTACTTGACTCACGGACACGGGCCCCCTGGAGCTCGTGTGCCCTCCCTTCTACTTTCCATTTTCCCACGTCCTATTCCCTCAGCCCCCTCTTGAAAACCCCTCAGTAAGCCCGAGTCTTTGCAGTGGCTTTATCCTGGCCATTGTCCTTCAGGTTTACCAGAGACATGGGTGAGCCTCACATCTCTCCTCAGCTCACTGGTACTCCTGAATAAAAGCTGACTTCCATTTTCGCCAACATTTGACATTTGATTGGTTTGCTTTTGTCTGGGGCAGGAAGCCAGACCTGTGAGTTGGTATCAATTCTGGGCAGCCCCAGCCAGGAGCTGAGTGTGTCTATAACACCTTCAAATGCCCTCTTACTGAGATGCGTGGTGGTGGTGGGAAGGTGGAGGAAGGCCTTTGCCCGAGGTCAGGCAGCTGATAATGATAAGAACCTCCAGGGATTCCCAAGTGCTCTAAGACACTGCACCTGGAATGTTGAGGTCAAGGGAGTCTGCTAAATTCGAGAAAGAGAAAAGGAGACCCCAACAGCATGGAGCTGGCCTGGTGTTCACAGCCAGGACTTGGTGTTTCCCTGTTGGATGTAAATGATTTCACACGGTCAGTCTTTGACTGTGTTGAAGTGACCTCTTGGTAATCATGGCCAAATACAGAGAGAAATCTGAACACAAGAGAGACTATGTGGCTAATAGAAGTGACATTGTTTCTACACAAATCACTGTACCTCTAGCTACAGTCTGTCTTCATTACCTTCCTTATAAGATCATCAGAGAGTGAGCCCCCCATTTTCTTTCTTTTTTTTTTTTTTTGGCCAGCCCTTAAAAGTTTTTAAATTTAAAATTTTTAAATTTTCTCTTGGCATGCATATCTCTGAGTCCCCACTCTTCCCAGGATTATTTGATATTTTGAACCGTGGTTATGGGGAAAGATGACATTATCTACCTGAATGTAAAGTTGTTTTCCAGCCACCCTGCAGCTGCAGACCTGCACGTAGTACACAGCCCTGAGAAAAGGGCTGGAGCAGAAACCACATGAGGCCTTGGCGAGACCTTGTACTTGACTCACGGACACGGGCCCCCTGGAGCTCGTGTGCCCTCCCTTCTACTTTCCATTTTCCCACGTCCTATTCCCTCAGCCCCCTCTTGAAAACCCCTCAGTAAGCCCGAGTCTTTGCAGTGGCTTTATCCTGGCCATTGTCCTTCAGGTTTACCAGAGACATGGGTGAGCCTCACATCTCTCCTCAGCTCACTGGTACTCCTGAATAAAAGCTGACTTCCATTTTCGCCAACATTTGACATTTGATTGGTTTGCTTTTGTCTGGGGCAGGAAGCCAGACCTGTGAGTTGGTATCAATTCTGGGCAGCCCCAGCCAGGAGCTGAGTGTGTCTATAACACCTTCAAATGCCCTCTTACTGAGATGCGTTCTCCCTCATTGCAACAAGACAGTAAACCCAACTTTGCTTAACTACCGGTGTTCTTCTGATGGTCTTTGGCTGAGGGACATTGACGAATATCACCAAATCAGTCTCTAAAACCAACCTAGACCCCAAAAGCATTTCTGGGGAAATGCCAGATTCCCTGTCCCTTCACCTATCACTCCTAGGCATGGTACCTCTTCTTAATCTTTGCCAACCTAATAAGCAAAATGTTACACTTAAGTTCTTTAAAAATTATAGACAAGGGCACCATCTAGTCACATCTTATAGGCCAAGGAAATTTCTAGATTATCCCTTGTTGACAGCAGGGTCTTGGTGACCAATGTGTTCACAGCTGCACAAAAAGCAGAATAAAATGTCTCATATGGTAGAATTCCAAAAAGGAAGCAGAATAAATGTCAAATTATGATAGAATGCCACTATGAATGATACTAAGTAACGGCTTAAGAGAATACAGTAAACTTATAATCACATCTCCTTGTTTTATTTCATTTTGTATTTTATTTCCTACTTAATATTCATATTCCACTGACTATAATAAAAGTTCACAAAAGACTGAGCATGGTAAGTTGCTTTCTCCCCTGACCCCAGGGTCCCCAACAGGCCCTGGCACAGACAAGGAGTTCAGTCTGATGTTTAGAGGCAGGTCTATGCAGCTCGGTAAGGCCGACCTCATGGGAACAAGAACCTGAGCCCGACATACAAACCAGAACAAGCCAGAAGCCAGTTCATCCACTCGCAAGGAGAAATCAGCGGCCCCCCACCTGAACACGCACCAGACCTCTGTCCCACAGGCAAAGCCAGTACAGAAACCAAACCTGCACTGAGCCCTCCCTGTGCTCAGGCACCTGGGGACAACTACAAGAATGGACAGTAGGGGCCAGAGTAGTCTCAGGGGACAAGAGAGGAGGCTGCTGGATCACCCAGGCAGGGGGCATGGTGGCTGGACAAGGTGGGCAGCCAGGGAGGTGGGAGGAGTGGGCGGCTGCCCTGGGTTGGAGAGGTGGGGCTCCCAGCACTGGGCAGGACTGGCTGAGTGGCTGGAGGTGCATTTCCTGAGGTGGGGACCCCACCACACGGAATGATGTCGACTCCCCCCACTGTGGAATGTCATGTCTCCCTGGGCTAGAGCCCCACGGGGGCAGGACAAAGGCTGGGTTGGCCAAACGACGTTTCCCAGCTCCTAGTACAGGGCCCAGCATGCAGCAGCTGCTCCATAGTGAATGGATTAATCAGTCATTGCAACTCTTCCATGGGGTGGGGACTGCAGGGTGGAGTGGGAAAGGGAGGGTCTCAGCAGGGTGGGCCTGGGTGGGCACAGCATGTAGGTAGGATTTAAGCCCCAGGCCATGTGGGTAGAGCCTTGTGAGCAGGAACAGACCAGGAACCAGGATGGAAGAACCTAGAGACTTGCTGGGTGAGTTGGGGCAGAGGGCTGTGAGGGGCCTGGGCTGATGGGGCAGGGGGCAGGGATGGGATCCTCAGGCCGAGGCAGCAGGGTGCTGATCTGGATTGAGCTTGTCTAGGATGGCTTCCCGTCCTGACGAGTGGGGAAGACTTAGTGGAGACTGGGAAATGAAATGAAATGAAGTGAGTGCGTTGAGCAGAGAACTGGGCCCACAGTGGCCTTCCTGCAAGTGTCAGGGACCCTTCGGCCCTTGGAAGGGGAGGGAAGCTGGGGGAGGGCAGAGCAGGCCTGAGGCACCAGCCCAGGCTGCTCTGGGGTGAGGAGCCCACACCGCCTGCCTTCCCAGGCTGTGGCGTCTGTCAAACACAGGTGCTGTTATCACGACCATTCCAAAGATGTGGACACTGAGGCCCAGAGAGGTACAGGGTGTGGGCAGGAAGGTGGAGAGCCAGGGTCTGCCCCCAGGGCGTCTGGTGCAGATACCACACTTTTGTCCCTGGCGCTGCCTCCAGCCTTACCTGCCTGACACCCTTGCTGCTCAGGAGGGCCTGGCCCAGGGTACAGGCGCAGTCGCTGGGGGTGGGGGGCTCGGGACTGCCTGTGGGCCTTGTCTGACCCTGTTTCCCTTCGGCCCCCAGTCCCCCCATCGTCCCAAGTCCCTCAGAGGAGGCAGCGGCAGGAGCGCACCGTGTACAGCGCCTTAGAGCTGCTGGAGCTGGAAAGAAAGTTCGAGATGAACAAGTACCCGACCTACCAGGAGGTGCAGGCCCTGGCCGACAGGCTGCACCTGAAGGAGCGCCAAGTGCAGGTCTGCCCCGCCGCGCCCACCCCTCGCAGCACCAGCGCCGCTCGCCAGGTGCCCGGCGCACCTGCCCACCCACCCTCCCGCTGCCCGGGGCGTGCGGCCCC